ACCCAGATATTTAAGTTCTTTAGTTGCGAACTTGCATTTTGAGGCGTTAATTGTAAGACCGGCCTCTTTTAATAATTTAAAAACTTCTTCTAGATCTTTAATATGTTGTTCCAACGTACTACTCGTTATAATTATATCATCTAGATAGATTAAAGTCGATTTTCCTAGGACAGGCTTTAGAACAATGTCCATAGCTCTCTGGAATGTTGATGGGGCCCCACACAACCCAAAGGGCATGCGTAAAAATGCATAAGTGCCCGATTTTGTTATAAACGCGGTTTTATGTATGTCTTCGGGTCTCATAGCTATTTGATAGTAGCCAGACGTTAAGTCCAAAGTAGTCATGTATCTTGTAGATTTAATCTTTCTAATAATTTCCTCTATAACCGGCAAAGGGTAAACTGGGAATTTAGTAATACTATTAGTTTTCTGTAATCGATAGCAAACCTCCAAGCCCTTTTATCCGAAGGAGGGAAACTCGTTCTTTTTCCTACATAGTACGACTGGACTCGCGTACTCACTATTTATGGGCGTTATTATTTTATTCTTTAACATTTCCTGAATATGTTCTTCGATGATTACGTCTTTTTGTTTATCATACGATAAGGTTTAGTCCTACAGGGTTTTTCGGGCAGTTAACTTGTATCTCATGCGTAACTAATTTGACAGCTACCAGGCCGTTCTGAAAACAAGTTTGAAAAAGTACTCACCACTTGCTGGATGGCTTGGCTTTCATGGTCATTCAAATGGCTAAGGTCAACTTGCGGTTGTTCCACAGGTTCCACCACCCTCTGGTCCATCTCCAGCACAACGGAACTGTCCTGAAAATTCAGTTTGGCCCTTCGCGGCCCTTTAAAAACTCCATACCTAAAATAAGAGGATTTTGCAGATTTTTCACTACAAAAATTAATACTTTGAGGCTTTCCTCTTTTACCTGTATTTTAATGATAATTTCCCGATGCAGTTGACAGGTTTTTCCTTGCGCCGCTATAATTTCTGTGTTTTGTTTTTAAATAATCGTAACCTATAAAAATTCTTTTTGAAAAATGTTCACTCATAAAATTACCTTCTGCTCCTGTATCGATGAGGGCTTCTACTGGTACATCGCCAACCAGGACTTGTATAATTGGTAGATGTGAGTTTTTACGATGACCGTATTTAAATATCTTTTTGAGGGTTTTTTTAAAACTTCCGGGGTCTGGACCCTCGCTTTCACAGGCCCCTCTACTCGTTTAAAGCTTTCCTTTCAACTTCTGCCTTCTGGGTACGCGGACGTTTGTTTTCGAATTTCCTTTTTGGGCCTTGACCTTCGAGGTTCGATGAGTTAGCTTGATAGCTCTTTCCCCCATAAGAGCGGTTTGCATTTCTGGTTTGCTCATTTGAAGATTGCCTTCGGGTACTTTGAGAATACGATGCCCCTCTAGCTTTTTCCGCTATTCTGCGATTTTGAAACTTGACCGCCAATTCGAAGAGCTCCTGCAATGTGCTTGGGTTTCTAATTTCGAAGTAGTCTTGAACAGCAGGTAACAATCTTGGTAAGATTATTTCAATAATCTCCGCGTCGGGTTTCTTCCCATACAGCATATCCGTCAGCTTAATTTTTCGCAGAATAAAGTCCGTCAACTCTTCTATATCCCGTTGATAGAAAACTATATAGTTCGGCTTCTAGCCTTGCTCGATCTTTCACTATGGGGAAGGCCTTTAATAACGATTTTTTGAAATTTTCAAATGTATATGTCTGGCTTCCGAATTCCCCTAATAAAAATTTGCCTATATTCTTCCACCATAGCGCGGCCTGTCCTCTTAGTGCAGATGTGGCGATGGCAACTTTTTGTCTTTCAGGCACAGGGTAGAGCTGAAAGTGATTTTCTAGGCCTTCTAGAAATATCGCCACCGAATTTTTTCCGTCGAAATTGACGTTTGGCTTGATTGACGCTCTCAAAGTCTGGACCAGGTATCCAAATCCTTCCAATTGGCTTGCCATTTCTTGTGTTGTCCAGCGGCTTCCATCCAATTTTCGGCCATTTCAGTTCGACAAGTGTTCGGGCGCCAATGTAACGTTGCGCGCCCCTCCAACTTGCACGCAACCAAGAGGTGACTGCTGAAAACTGGAAAGACAGAGTCTTGTGAAGGGTTTAAGTCCCTTTTTATTCAACTTAATAAATTACAATGCGTGCTCTTGACGCTCACAAACTACGCCGACCCGGCGGTAAAATAAAAATAAGAAACTGAAAAGAATAATAACAAGACTCTAACTACGAGGCTCTCTAAAAGTAACTAACCTCACCCGCGTTTTACAATACCGCTGCTAATTCAGCAAACTTGAATATCACGTTGAACGATTAACACTAACTTCCCCCAAGCACACAGGCCGAAACGCGGGGTTCTTCAATTTCTACGGCTAACTACCTCCGCGCTCGTGAAGTAAGAAAGCACACCGAACTCGTTTCCTTCTATTTAACTCAGAATACTTCCGCTGATAATTTGAATGCTTGCGCGTTCTACTAAAATTTACATATTCTGGCATTGGCAGTTCCAGGGGAAAGTAAGGCTTGACAGGGAAGATAGTTTAAACTTAAAATAAATGTTAGTTAAAATAAATATAAACCCTACAATTTACTTAAGGATTGTTCTACGAGAGAACGGACAATATCTGTCCATACCGCTCCCTAAAATATTATCTAATACTATACTCTTTCACTACACTATATTATCTTACACTACACTAATTATCTGACGATACCTCGTTATGAGCAATATTTTATCATGCTACAATTTTTCGAATTAATCAGATTTATGCTATGAAGAATATTGATCTGTAAGACGTCTTCGTGTTATTATGCGGTACTTCACTTCGGTCATCAAATCATTCTTAAATCTATTATTAGTCCAAAGGGGTTTTGTCCCTGAAGGACTATTGTTTTCGTTTTGCGATTTCGCGTTGAATCACTATAAATGTCCGTTTCACTTTTCAAACTGTTGCCACCAAATGTTAGAGTCCTGCATTATGTTTGAAGAAATTAAATAATGAAAAATCTGCATTTAAATGTATGTATATTTTTCGCATTGCGATAAAACAACGGTGTATCGATTTCATATTTTGTTAAACTTTAACGAATTTTTGATTAACAATCTCAAGGATTTCAAAGCGAGCCATGGCAACGTTGTACAGAAAAAAAAGAAACATTTTTATCTCCAGTGCGCGGAACTGTGTATCGGAAATTCTAAAGATAGGCTCATTTAAAAATTATTTTGCGACATTGCTATTGAACTGAATTTTAGGGTTTAAGTGCAAAGAACGCCTAGGGTTTAAACGTCTGCTTCGAGTTCAAAGACGAATTTTGCTGCGAGTTATAAGCGGTTACCGAACCATTAGTTACAATGCTGTTTTCTCTCTTGCCGGATTTCCACCACTGGATTTGTTTATTCTGACCTTTATAGATTACAAGCATAGTCTTGCAAATTACTCCAATTCTCACTTGATCGTTATTGCCCTTGTCTGTCTACCACATCCTTCTGTAAGACAACCAGTACAGATTCTGGATAGTACGGACAGTGATGTTAATTCATTCTTCATTGTGCTGTATACAGATGGTAGTAGGATTGATGATAAAGTTGGTTTTGCTTATGTTATTTTTGAAGATGATATTGAAATTTTGAGTGTCACCAATTTCGCATTAGAAATGAATGTACTGATATATTTCTGAGCTTCTGTGTATTAATTTGCAAATCAAGTGGATAATTAGCCAGAATGGAAGTGGTTCCAGCTACTTAATCTGTACGGATTCACTCTCTTCCCTGGATCTCTTAAAAAATACCCTTTAGTAATGATATATTGTCAATATACAGCAGTCTCGGAGATGGAGAAGAGGGGATCTCAGTGTTTTTACATTTGTCCGTGGTCATTTCGGGAATATGAAAACGAGAGACTGACTGGCTGCTAAGAAGGCAACAAAATGATATTAAACGTTATGTAAATATTCAAAATCTTATTTAAAAAAACATTCAAAGCTAAAGATTGAGCGGTGCACTGTGATTATCTCTTCTGATAAGGGATCTGTTACAAAAGCATTCTCCAACTATTTTTGAAAGACTGAAAAAGTAAGGACTGTTGTCAATTTAAAGTACGCAATTTGTCTGGAATGGTAAGTAATTTTATCTTGAACGATTTATCTGCATCTTCCAATTGTGTAATTGCAGTCTTTAGCGTTCAGAAGGTTTTCCACTGCTTTTTGATTACCCACGGCTTGATAAAGTAAAAATCTTTTGAATGTAGATTGAATCATTGGAATTCATTGGCCGCCGAAATGTTTATGATTTGTATCCTCGATTTCGGGCCTACCGATCTTTCACTGATTTTGTTGACTTTTATTTTAAACATGTTATGATTTCTTTATACATTTTTATTTTGTTTTACTTGTGTTTTTTCCTTGTTATGATTTCTGTATTGTTGAAAACTGATGATATTACTTACTATCTGCCTTTTAACTTACGATTTGTAAGTCTCGTGTGTACTTGTGGTTTGCACGAGGATTTCTATTTCTTAAATAAAAAAAAAAAAGTGCCAAGAACATGAATATTTAATAAATAAAGGTAACCACAAAACGTTAAAAAAAAAAAAAAAAAAAAAAAAAAAACGCCTGTTTGGACGTAATTTAAAATCTGAAACCTTTCAGGTTTTTTTTTTAAGAAGTAGAAATGATGTGACTTTCTTATATTACTTTCTTACTAGACATTATAATATACAAAAGGTACTGTGAGCGTCAAAAATCGCATTTTGGAAGAAACAGCCGTTTTAGGGTTTCCTGATTTAAAAAAAGAATAATTTTTACGGAATTTCTATCTGTATATATTAAAGCATGTATGTCTGTAGATAACTAGTAGAATGTCCTAATTAATTAATTGGTTAAAAGTTTTATGAACTAAACATTTTTTTGCAAAAAAGAATATAATGTCCCCGCCTTTCCCTGAAGCAACCCTGGATGTTTTTCATATTTCAGATATACAACAATGAAGCAACAGCGTCCAAGTAGAGTACAGCAAAGGAAAAAAAAAAACAAAAGGCGGAACTCCAGTCGCCGGCTGGCTCGTAAACCTTCGGCGTCAAGTGCAGAAGAAGAAAACTTTGCAACATTACGTAAATCCAAGTGTGAAGTTGAGTTAATGACAAACCTCAGGGAAGTCACGAAAGTGAAGAAAAAATTAGAGAGGACACCCAGGAAGAAACTGAAGAGTTCAATGAAAATGATAACTTTTGTATATAATCACAATGAAGAAGAAAATAAATTAGAAGACAGCGCATCAAAGAGGAAGAAGGAGGAGACGAAGAAGAAACCCAACGGTAATATTTTTATCTCTTTACATCTTTGACTGGCCGTTCCCTGTTCCAAATAATCTAAGAGTTGGCTTCGAGAAAGTGAAGCGTTCCAAAACAAAAATGGATCATGGTGTTTCAGCTAAGAGACAGGGGATAATACTAAGATGAAGGATGCTAACCCGCAGTTGACTTCTGATTGATTCTATAGCAGTCAGTCAAATGGCGAGAAAATTCTGAGAGTCTAGATGGCATACTCAAATAAAAGTAAAAGATCGATGACATCTTTTTGTTGTAGGCTCTTTGCCACTGATGCAGGTTTGAGCACTACATCTAAATTTGTAACTGGTAGAAAATTTCACAACCATGAAATCTCGGAACAATATGAAGTTTGTTTCGAAAAATAAAAAACTTTAGGAACAAATCTAATTTCCAATAGAACCACTGATCCACTTAGCCAGACAGCTGCTGAAACAGAAATAAGGAAATGGAGAAATCGTCCTCTACTGCTGATTGAACTTTTATTAGAATCTGATTCTGTTCTAAGCTAGAACAGTAAACTCAATCACCATCGGATGAGATATATATAGCTATTTATCTGCCATCCCCAAAAAATGAGTTTATTTCAGGTCTGGGCCAAACTGTTAAGGAAAAGACTTATTGTTATTAAAAAAGCAAATTATTTTAGTATAATCTTTTACAGTACAATGGACATCTTGCACATACATCAAATGAGTGAAATCATTCGTATCATTCGTTACGTTCACATACAAAGGAAAATGTTGAAATAAAGAGTAATTTCTCGGAATTTTCATTTAACTTATAGAGTTATAAGGTATTTCTCAAGCTTTCTTAACATGCCTTCGTGGTGTGGTGGTCTGCACGCTGGGCGCGTATTCCAGAGGTCCGAGGTTCGATTCCCGGGGAAGGCGCTGCTAATTTTTCATCTCTTCTGCTTCTTAAAAATACCTAATGTCTCTACAGAGTCTTTCACTTCTTTTCCACATAAACTAGAATAGACCCTATAATGACGTGTCGAATTCTCGCACAGACGTGAAATAAGCTACTGACTCAGACGAAGAGTAAGTATATCCCTTTATTAATTCAAAATTAATTAACAGATAGGCACGGTCTTCGTGCCTTACAAAAACACCGTCAACTTGAGGTGAAAACTAAAACGTAGAGTATAGTTTAAATCAAGCTTAAAATAAATAGGGCGAGATAGCACTTAAGTTACGCCTAAGAGGTGGACTCATAAGAAACTAACCGTCGTGATGCTAAATCTGATAAGGCCAACAGGCTTACTAGCGTAACGCGAAATAACAACAAAACGTGCGCTTGGCTAGCAAAACACGTTCTGAATAAACTGAGGATTCACCCGTTTAAATAATCACTGCACTTAACTTTTAAATTTACATCCTGGCGAGAGAATGTGAAGGGAAGTTGAGAAGTCGAGTACAGGTATTAAACGTAACCTTCCAGCATGCGCATAGGCGTAAAATTTACGACAAATTCAGTTTTTAATGCACATTTTTCGCATATCGTAGCTGAGACGTCTGAAGGTAATTCCTATTCCTTCTTTCTATTAATACCCTACCACACATCATGGAATGTGCCAAGAGGAAGTCATTTGACTTTTTTTAACTTGGCTTTTGTGCTCGTGGCAGTTTTTCATAAAATTTACGACCGCGCGAGGGTCATGTTTTAAAATTCGAAAATTTTTTTTTCTCAACCTTTTGCAATTTTGTTATTATTAATTGCGTGTATCATTTTAATTGAATCCATTGGCTCTGTAAATTTTATCGGTTTTCATGGCAAAAAAAATCATGTGGCAACCACTGATTTTGCTCGATTCTTCAAGAATATCTGATTAAGAAAAAAGACAAGGAAACCTTTGATGGGAGAAAATAGCGATTTCCATTCCTTATTTTCTTTATTCTATTTTTAGAAATAAAAAACATTAAGTTAGACATTTAAAAAATTAAACATAACTTTTTGTAACCAGTAAGAAGTAGAATTCCTTGCGAGTAAGCTAAACTTACTTTTTTCCCTAAGGTGTTTTTTCCTTTTCTACGGACCCACCAAGCGGCGGAGCGATAAATGTCGCTGACACTGGTAGGGGGTCCGAGGTTCGAATCCACGAACGGGCTGTCTTGCTGGTCTTTTTCTTTCTTCCCCATGTATACGTCTATACGAGCCGTTTCACTTAGAAAGTCCTCCGAAGCAATCCCTCCCTAGGGATAGCCATAGTGTGCTTTACCAGAATTAATAAACAAACAAACCTTTTTTTATGTATATAACTTTTCTTGTGAATATTAAAATTAGCTTCGATTTAAAATAATTATTAAATAAAAAAATTTAAATTTTGTATAATGAAATAACATCATTGCATTTTCATCTCACTAACATCCTACTTAAAAATAATTTACTTATATTGATGTGATATCATTGGTATTTTTGCATAAACAAATAATATTTTATTCTACAAATTTTTATCATATTCACACATTTCTCTCGTTTTTCGTGCCAAAAACGGTAAAATAACTGATGTCGTAAAAAATACGACGCGCGCGTGCTCATGTAAAATTGCCTAGCGCGCGTGCTGGAAGGTTAAAATAAATTTTTATGCAAAATAAGGAAAACCCTACAAACTGAGAAAAAAGCCGTTGACATAACGGAAGATATTTTAAAGGTTACAAAACGAAATAATCTAGATATAAAAATGTGCCGGGGAGAAGGATACAACAATGCTTCTACAATGGCTAGAACGGACTCAAGAGATAAAAAAAGATTTGTGAATATACAGTGGTGGCCAAAACTGTGGACAAAATTTCCAAAACAAAAAATAATTTTAATGTTTTTGAACTTTGTATGATTATAGAAAACGTTACGTTTCACAAAATGCAAACTTGTATATATCATTTTAAGGAGAATTTATTACTGAATTCAATACAAAACACAATCAATTATTTGCAATACGAATAGTTAAACGCTAAAGTTATGATAACATAGATAGTGATGATTGCAGTGAGTATTATAGGGTACTCTTATTTTTGATTACAGCTTCACATCGGGACGTTCATTTAGCTCACAAGAGTTTTAATTCTCTTTCTTCTTTCGTTATTACATGATGCCAGGGACATTTAAGCCTCAATTTTTAATCCCTTTTAATGATGGGCGCCCATTATTCGACAGACTTCCAACGGCCATAAATTTTCGATAGGATTTAGGTCAGGACTGTTTCCGGCCATGGGACAACAATTTAATGCTCTTTGTACGAAACTCCTTTTCGATATTTTGGCCGTGTGGCAAGCAGCAGAATCCTGCAGAAAAATAAACGAAAACGTTGTTGGAAAGAAAATCTCTTATGGAAGATGAAGTGTTGGTTCTGAATAGTGTAATGTTATTTTATGGGGCATTCATGTCCCATGATGGCAGACTCCATGCTAACTCGAATGAAGTCGACAATACCATCTGCTGACATGCATGACCAATCATACACTAACTTCACAGTTTCTTGAAAGCAATCAGGATGTAGCTCTTCTTTATTTACGTCTACATTTTTCGTCCCATCACTACGAATAACGATTATTTAGTTTCATCACTCCATATAACTGTGACCACTGATATCTGTCAATCAATGTTTCCTTTGCCCACTGTCGTCTTTTTTTCGTTGCTGAAAGTAAGATAAGGCTTTTGGCGTGCCAAGTTAACCTCTCAGTCCAACATCTGTAATCTTCTCCTGATTGTTCTTGAACTGACAGAAACCCCAGCATTATTAGATCACTTCTTATGGCCTCTATGACATTTTCTGTTTTGGACATAGTCTTTATTCTTCTGTGTATCATAGATGTGTGCAACTTTTTCGACCTTTCCTTCTTTTTTTTTATTGAATTTGTCTCCTGAATCGTAAACAAACTTTCGGACTCCAGATGTAGTCACTGAACCCACCCACTGTCTTGCATTTCAGCATAGGAAAGACCACTTCTCGTAACACAATAATATTACCTCTTTCTAGGTGTCCAATCTACTCTTTGATTTGATGTCATTGCTTCTTGACTACATATTAAATTTTTACAAAAATTCCTACTTGCAGTGGATAAGAAACAGGTCCTCCTTCTACAGAACAAAGTAAAATAATTAATTATTTTCAAGTGTAAACATGATGTCAATATTCTACTGGCAGTTACTAACATTTGATTGGTTCTCAGAACAAGAACAGTGATGGGCAGGAAAGCTAGACATTACAACCACTTCATACTGTGTTTTCTATTTATATTAAAGCCATTAAACTTTTTTTTATTGCAAATAATTGAATTTTTGTGTTGAATTCAAATAAATTCTCTTAAAATGATATATACAAGTTTGCATTTTGTGAAACGTAACATTTTCTATAAGCATACAAAGTTCAAAAACATACAAATTTTCAAAAGTGTCCACAATTTTGGCCACCACTATAAATCCTAAATCTTTGCTTGTGTTATGTATAAACCACTATCAGTCTGTGCGGAGTTAGAAAGTTTGTACGTGATTTTCTCAACTTATATGCACAGATGGACGATCCTTTTGACAAATCGAAAATATAGTTAAGGGATTTTCAGAACTAAGATCGAGTTCGACTAAGATTCTGGACGAGCTTGATTCGTCGATCAGTGTAGCATCTGAATGCATTTTCGCTGAGACAATGCAGAGTTGCGATAGCAAATTTCATAGTTCGTTTCCACTACGTCTGTACTACGAGCGGTGGAAGTTTGGTAAAGATTGTGATGTGATTGCAAATAATGTTTGCAAAGGAGGAGTTTAATTACGCATGTTGATACAAATTCAACTGCCAGTTTTTGTAGTTATTATTTCGAAACTTCTATATAACAGTCTTACAGTTTTCGTTGTATTCCTTTATCGCCTTTTGTTTCCAAGATTTTTAATTCTGAAATCGAAGACTCCTTTGCTGGACACTCTGTACTTTTTCGAAAAAAAACGTAGACAATTTGTTTATTTTTAGAAGTGTCACTGGCGTCGATAAATACAGCCGGAGTAAGAATGTTTTGAGTTTGTT